GTGATTTCCTGTCTAGCCCTATGTTAACTGCAGTAACTGAGGCATCCCAGATGAGGCTCGCAGAAATAAACAGAACCCGATCCTATCTTTAGCATTGTGGTGTGCCGCTTCTGGGACGCATCTGAAAAATGCTGCGTCGCGGCTGCTCTGTTTCGCTCCATAGACTATAATGGATTCCATGTGAAGCAGCGCCGTTTCGCCGCTGTTCCGCGCTGCTGATGCTGCCAGTGTGCAGTAGGAGTTACAGCTGTGGTTTGTCAGACATGTGGAAACAAAGTGAAAACGTTGTCTACAAGGTTGGCTTGCTTCCAAATCAACACATTCTCACTCCCAGCGCGTCAAAAACAAACGCTTGGTCAGCCACCCTCCACGTCAGACCCCTGACGCCAAAAGTGCCCTTTTTCGTTACTTATGTGCGAAAAGGGGTTTTTCCCTTATTTGACTGCAGATCCCAATGCAGCGTTACACTGAAGTGATGGGATGTCCGCAGCCAGGGCACCAAACAAGCTCGTTGTACCTCACCTTAACCTTATCCTCTTGTTATTTAACCTTCCCCTCACCCCTATCCTAACCTTAACCATCTTGCTAGCGAACACGTTAGTGATGTGTCGGTCGCTCTAAAAGCCGGCTCTATGAAGTGAACGGCAGGAGCCGCCTCGTCATTGGTCGGGTTTGGACCGAGACAACGCGAGGGGGAGGTTTCAACTACCAAGGTGGAGGTTAAAAGTAGAGGGTGTTTGTAACCTCCTCCTCACCAGATGGTATGTTCTAACGTTCCCCTTGGGCGGCAAATACGAAAATTCACAGTCAGAATGCAGGGGAAACAAACGCTTGATCACAGTGAGAGTAACGTTTTAGGTAGCAAGAAGGTTAAGGTTAGGATGAGGGAGAGGGGAAGGTTATAAATAGTGAAATGTTAAGGTTTAGGTGCGGTTAAACGAGCTGGTTCGGTGCCGCATCAGCGGACATCCCATCACGTCAGTGTAACGCTGCTTTGGGATCTGCAGTTACAAAAGGGAAAAACCCCTTTTCGCACATAAGTAACGAAAAAGGGCACTTTTGGCGTCTGGGGTCTGACGTGGAGGGTGGCTGACCAAGCGTTTGTTTCTGACATGCTGGGAGTGAGAACGTGTTGTCCAAATAGTGCAAAAACAATTTAAACGCAGAAGTCCGGCATAAAAGAAGTAGAAATTCCAGCATAGATGAGAACAAATCTGGGCCAGCTGATCTACAAAGTTCAACCATTAGCTTTACAAAGTAAAAAAACAAACAAACAAAAAAAGGGGATAAACCTGGGAAAGCCTCTTTTGTCCTCATCTCATGAAGGAAAAATAAATAAATTTTATATATATATATATATATATATCAGCTATGAATGCTTTAGTGGCAACAGCTAGTAGAGGCTTAATCACTTTTCCTCCTTAGTACCTGGGAAGAAATACAATTTCCGTCACGAAAATGCAGTTGAAACGTTTTAAAGTTTTTCAGTCATTTACCTGTAATCCCATTAGTAGAAGCTTATCGAGCGTGAGGGACGTGAACGGCTTTGTCTACATCGTGTACAGGACGGAATACACACTCAGATGCCAGCTTGTTGAACAGGGACGATCCTTATGTTTCGTATGTTTTTTACATCCGGTACTTTTTTGTGAGAATTGCATTCCAGTAGCAGAGTAGTAACCTAAGCATACGCCTCTCGCTAAAACCTACCAAAGGTCATGAATCTGAGTCATCCTGACAGAATGTCTCACTGGTTTAACGTGACGCACAAACTGGAAACTAAATGAGCAGCAATCCTTAAAGAAACTGTGTTAAATTCCTGTAAGGAATGCAGCTTTTAAACAACACATTTTAATGTTTTAAGCCTACACATTGTATTTCATGATCACTGCCAGTTTAATTTTGGGGAAATATATTTTTTTCTGGGTTTGACGGGAGCTCATGCTACTGTTGGCTGCAAACCAGGCAAGATGTAGGAATTCTCTTCTAAATAATTCATGACTTCAGCCGTTCGTCATGCTTCTTAAAGGACTCCATCATGCTGCTAGGTCAGCTCACACAAGGTCAAGAGTCACTCATGCAGCTGCAGTAGGCTATACGACCTGGATCAGCTCAAACCATGCCACTGGACGACCCAGAAGCGAGTCAAGCCTCAAGTGGTGAAACCAGTTTGAGGACTATTGACTGAGCAAGTATCACGTGAAAGCAACATGATGCATAAACAGACGACACCTTGCATGTAACTGCTGTCCTACTTTAGAGAAACTGAGATTCATGCTAGACTCATGGTCACATGACTGCTACACCCAAACGCAGGACGCCACAGGTAGAACAAGGACTGTTGTTGATTTTTAAGGTCCTGCAAAGCTTCGTATTTCAAAGAGTGGATAAACGAGTGAGGGGTTTTTATGTGATTGGACACGCATTCATTCACTCATTCACACATGCTTTTTGTTCATGCAGTGACGGATGCTGTGATTATGCAATGCACTGGAGATGAGGCTGTCTCTTTAGCACATCTCGTTCTACGATGCAACACATGCAGCAGCTGAAAGCACTCAATGTCACATCCTTCTGCAGGACCTGAAGCTCCTCAGCCTCCAAACACATTCATATTTCCCTCAAGTTTAACCAAGGAGAATGCTGATTGGCTTGTTTAGCGCATGCAGCCACAAACAGGAAAGGCGTGTATCCAAAACATCACATGACTCGGAACGACACCTGGCAGAGACTCCTGAATGAACATCAACAGGAGCACTTTTCCAAAAAACAGTGTTCCTTTTGTTTTTACAGGATGGTCATCGATAGCATTTGTACTTAAATGCTTTTCAGAAGGGTCTCAATAACATTTTTCCACACAGGAAAGACTACAAAGCTTAGTTAATGTAAAAAAAAACACCAAAAGATGGTCTTTGAAATGTATGTTGCTTAATATTATACGCAGTTATTAACTTGATAGAAGGGGTCATTTGTGCCAGTTTTCTGGAAATAAAGATATTAGAAATAGACAAGGTAAGACCACTTTTATTTTAAAAGGCGTAGAAATACTGCATTTGAAAAAGGTACTCCTGTATTTGTTTATGTTTGTTAAGCCCACGGCTCAAATCTTCTACCTAATTTTGCCCAGCTGGCTCTTGGCTCTGGAGAGAGGCTGCAGAGCGATGAAGTCATCACCTATCACCACTCGGTTGGAATACATCTACACCAGGAGAATGCAGACACAGAGGTAAGATGAAGAACACAAAGATTACAAGTTCAACTCTCACACACATACAAGGGTGCATTCACACAGACAGCCCATAGAAAACAGTGATTTCCCACACCGAGACAAACCAGGAGAAAGGTTAGATGCTACAGAGGATAGGAAACAAGGGTGTTAGCTAAAACTGGACTAATCAATCCAGTAACAACGCGAGGCTCCTGAGAAATGACACTGAGTTTTTCTCTGCTCGTCTGTGATCAGAGGGCAGCCACGCGGTGCAGATATGAACACCACTGTGCTCCTTTAAAAAGTGGGTTACTCGTGACTACTGAGGCTGGAAATGAGTTCAAAACAACAGAGAAAATCTTCTCACAACGTAGAATTTGAGTTTCTTTGGCGTTATAGTTCTGTTTCTACCCCCCAGGCTCTTTTATTACTAGTAATAATTAGGGATGGGTACCTTTGACATTTGAATCGATTCGGTACTAATTCCCAGTACCTAGGAATCGATACCGGTACTTAACGGTACCAATTTTAGATACTTTTGAGTGTTTAATATTTTAATTCTCTTATAATTAAATATATATTAAATATATATTTTTCTCAATATATAGCCATATTTGATAAATATCACAATAAATAACATACAAATGTTTGTATTTTAACATCGTCCTTGTAGTTTTATAAGCTGATAATTAAACTGAAGCAAACATCTTTACTGTGAACTAAATTTACTGTGTATCTTCATTCTTTTTGCCGTCCTTTTCATTTGAATTTTCCTACTGGGAAGTTAGAATTTACGAGGAGAAAGCGAACGCACCATTAGCTGATAACAATGGTGGCAATGGAAGCTGATTTATCAAGCTAACTTTATCTTAAACAGTTTATTTAGCTGCTGGAGCAGATTAAAACGATGATGCCTCACACTTAGATCGTTGTCGCTGGTTTCATCTTCACCCAATCACCCGTCGCATTTAGTAAAGTGAAGCCAAACTTTAGAGTGTGTTCATGTTCTTCTAGTCGGAAATTCGGAGTTCCAAGGAGAAAGCGAACGCACCATTAGCGAAACGGAAGCTAACATATCAAGCTAACGTTATTTTAAACATTTTATTTACCAACTGGAGCAGATTAAGATGAGGATGTCTCACTTAGATCGTTGTCGCTGGTTTCATCATCACCCAGTTACCCATCACATTTAGTGAAGTGGACCCAAGCTTTAGCGTGCGTTCTTTCTACCATGCCGCTCTGTTTACAACTCACTCGCAGCAACCGACGACATTACGCTCTTGCGCAGCTTTCTAGGCAAGTTCTCGTTATGAAGGACGGGTACCGAAACGAGGCACCGTTTCAAATGACGTGAATCAGTGCTCAGTCGGTACTGTGGAATTCGGTCGGTACCTTAAAAAGTATCAAATTCGGTACCCATCGCTAGTAATATATGTATTTTTTGTGTTAGGAATATGTAGTAAATCTAACTCTGTAGAGAGAAAATACTTTAATGACAGTTTTTACCTCTCCTGTGTCATTTCCTTTAGGACTTTCGTGATAAGCTAACACATACCAGATTGGTGCCAATGCTTTGTATGAATTCTGACAAAGTACATTTTAAAACATGCAGAACCATCAGATCCTTGAGATTTTATTTGAACCTGTTTATTTACATCACACATTCTAACTTTTGTCCCTCATTAAGTGTACATATGAATTTCACTGACGTTTCCATTGAAATCTTCAATCTCTAGACGTGTTATTTTCACCTTCCTGATGTTTTCAGTGCTTTGAACCTGGTTCCTGTTACCTGACTCTTCTGCGTGCTGGTAGGTAGCATGTGTCTGTATATGACCTTCTTCACCACATCAGGAAAGAGGCAAGTGATGACCATGATAATGATGGCGAACCAGGCTGAACCGCTGGACAGCAGCTGAACAAAGACGAAGTACATGTCCTGAGTGTGCAGGAACGGCCTGCAGGGAGTAGAAACAACAATTAGCCGGTGCAAAAGAAAAAAAAAGAGGTGGCTAACAATTTTAAGCTTGTGATCTAAGAAGAGACTTCTCTACACAAGCGAGTAGTATAACACCATGGCTTCAAGACAGAAATTCAAGGATGTCATCCTATTTTGTTCCATTCACAGTAAATTCAGGTCTCAGACAGATAATGCTATTATTCCCTGGCTGTAGAGTCCAGCAACCAATGCAGATGTCAGGCTGTAGATATCAATAACAGCTCAATACTGTCAGTGTGGCTCCCAGACGTCTGTGAGCTGAGCGGACTGGGTAAAGAGGTTTAAACTGATTTGATTGGGTCAACATAATAGCTAAAGATTTATGAGGGTTCCAACAGAACCCAAAGGGATTCTACTGCAGCGACAGGAAGGGTAGCTTCATCCAGAACATCAGCAAGATGCTGGGAATAGTATACCAGTATTTTTGTGCACCATTGATAAATATATTATATATATATATATATATATATATATATATATATATATATATATATATATATATATATATATATATTGTACTGCAGGTTCATAATTACGGACTATAAATTCAAATAAAAATAATTACATTTTTATTACAGTTGTGCTAACATCTACATATCAGATCTTTTGGTAAAAAAGTTTTGTTTTATAATATAATAATAATTATTATAAATGATGACACATATTAAGATGTAATAATTAATATTTTATATTATTTAAAGGGACTTTACAGACTTTTGAATTTTTATGCTCACGATTGCCCCCTCAGGCCAAAAGCGTAACGGCAGCTTCAATAGTAGGCCCGTGCACGAGGTGCGCATGCTGTACGTGCACACTCCTTAATGAAAATAACAGCTGAGACAGTCCCGTGTGTGTGTGTGTGTGTGTGTGTGTGTGTGTGTGTGTGTGTGTGTGTGTGTGTGGCCCGGAGGACAGAGGATAGGAGAATGTGCAGCTAATTAATTAAATAATTTGGTTCTGTACCTTTCTCTTCAGCACAGCCGACAAAGGTTTATGATGGGTCAGTCCTGCATGCTCAGATCATTCCCTTCCCTTGCTTGAAAAATTGTTCCAAAATGAAAGTTGAACCCACATCTTTTTTATCTGTGAATTCAATGCTGTTCTGCGAGACTCAAATAAAAATTTGGGCATCTTACTGTAAAAAAAATATACCATTAATGTAAAAAAGAAACTCTAAATAAACTATGTTCACATCCAGAATTGAACCCAGGTCTTCTGCATGAGAGTCAGACATCTTACAAGGTGAGCTACACTCTAGTAACATTCACAGTATCTGTAACTTTTATATCCTTGATGACATCTGAAACAACGTCAATCCAGAGAACGGTTCGGAGTGAAAATGGCTATTTTGTTGCTAATTTGCAGGAAATATCTAGAAGAAAGTTCTACAGAAAGTAGCTAAGGGTCCTCAGAAATGTAGCTAGGTTCATCACTAGGCGTTAGGAACAGCGACAAAGTCGGTGAGTTGGCACTGCCTCTCTCTCTGCTGCTAAAGCTACGGATAGCAAATGCTACGGGCTATGCCTGAGCGTGAACGCGCATGAAGCAGCCTGCTCGACCCGAGCATCTCTCTTTTTCTGTGATTTTACAGAAAAACAGGCAATCACAGTAAAAATGCCAGGGCTCATTCTACAGGACCAGGGCACTGCAGGAGAATGTATGAAGAAGAAATTTATTATTTCTACACATGTTTTGGCTGTCAAACTTCCATAATGCCCCTTTAACTTTATTATATTTGTATGGACTTTATACATTGTTCATATTAACAGTCTCTCTCTTTTTCAGCAATCTTAAATTTCAACAATCTCATTAGATGCGCTAAAATGCAACAATAATAATGGAGTAGATCAAAATCTGAAATATAAAAATAAAAGATGCAGCTGATAAGGATGCTCCTACCAGATGATTCCTCCATAGAAGAGAGAGAAGATGAAATAGAACGCAATTGAGCCCCACGTCACAAAATGGTTCATCCAGGTCCAAAAGTGAGTCTCTAATGCGAGCTGCCATGTAAAAGAGCAAACAAAAGACAGCCAGGTGTAAAACACTGATGGGAGGACATCTATCATATAATACAGACCTTGCCCTAAAACCTGTGACATCATTTTCAGAGGCTGATGCCCACTGACATCTTCATCCTCTCAACACACTGTATTTTACCCCAAGTGTAGAAACAAATTATACGGTGTGTGTCACGCTGAGATCTGCATTATATACCAGGATGCACATTTCGGTGTCCTTTATGCCGTTTCTTCTTGGAAACTAAATTTCCCATTTTTATTCATTTTTAGGTTACAATTATAGCCTACTGTACTACTGTTGTGCATTCACTCGTATTTTCCTACTATCTAAGTGTATGTGATGCCCTAAAGAGTCTTTTCTATTCTATTCTGTGCAGCTGAACATGTTCCTAATGCTGACAGCAGCAGATGCTACATGGTAGCTTAAACAAAACACCGTTAGGAATCATCTAAAATCACTGTTCTGTTCATGACCGAAGACTAATCAACTTTCCTCATTTGTGCTAAAAAACAACTTGTAAGTAACTGATAAATACTTTAAATTAGGGATGCACCGATACAATACTGGTATCGGTAAAAGTTAACAGATACCAGGAACCGATACCAATGCAGTTGCTTGAAAATGGCTTCACTGTAACTTGTCATTTCTGTTCACCTAATATTTTAGTTTTTATCTACATCACAGTCTTTTCCTGTTGAAAGCAGAGAAGAAAATAAAACCTGTATTCCAAATCACTGCATTTTTTTGAGTGGTAGAAGTATTGGTATCGGTAATCGGTATCGGCGAGTACTCAGATCCAAGTATCGGTGTCGTATCGGTTTGGAAAATGTAGTATCGTTGCTTTCCTACTTTAAATGCAGAAATACAGCTGAGACTATAACTTTTATGGTTACTTACCTTCAACGTGACCGTGACTACCATAACGGTAAAGACGAGCGTTCCAAACGTCCAGTTCCCAAACATCTATGAAAACAGATCACTTTTATTACCAGGCCTTCGCGCTGAACATTATTAGCCGACAAGATCCTAGCATCCAGATATCAACAGCAGCGTTGTTTACGATGGTTGTTTACATGCACAAACATGGTTAGTGGTAGTACACATGATAAGATGATCAGCCTCTGCAAACATAACTAACAACGTGGGTTTACATCCCTTGTTTGGGTACAGATGGCCAAAAGATCGGGCAGTTAGTGTAACTTAAACATTATTTCTTAATGAAAGCCCACACGCTCAGATTAATGACACCATAGACAATGTGAGCAGGCTCAGGCTTTTGTTTGCACATGTGGAAGAGAGCAAACACTTCTACAAGCTAAAGGCTCCTACTAATGTGCCTGTGAGGCTTCTCACTTTGCAGGACAGCTAATTCTAACACAACTGGAGCGTGAATATTAAAGTGTAATAGCAAGTGGAGTGGGCTCTATCCAGTTAGCTGCATTACAGGACTTATGCTATAGACCATGGGTGGTGAATAAATCAGTAGCATACTAGGGCTGCACGATATTAGGAAAACCTGCGATGTTCGACAGCAGTGATTAATATTGTGATGACGATATTACTTGCGATAAATAACAACTTAAAGGGACTTTACGGAGTTTTGAATTTTTATGCTCGTGATTGCCCCCTCAGGCCAAAAGCGTAACGGCAGCTTCAATAGTAGGCTCGTGCACGAGGCGCGCATGGTGTACGTGCACACTCCTTAACGAAAATAACAGCTGAGACAGTCCCGTGTGTGTGTGTGTGTGAGTGTGTGTGTGGCCCGGAGGACAGAGGACAGGAGAACGCGTAGCTAATTAATTAAGTAATGTGGTTCTGTACCTTTCTCTTCAGCACAGCCGACAAAGGTTTATGATGGGTCAGTCCTCCTGCATGCTCAGATCATTCCCTTCCCTTGCTTGAAAAACTGATCCAAAATGAAAGTTGAACCCACATCTTTTTTATCTGTGAATTCAATGCCGTTCGGCGAGTCTCAAATAAAAATTTGGGCATCTTACTGTAAAAAATATATACCATTAATGTAAAAAAGAAACTCTAAATAAACTATGTTCACACCCAGAATCAAACCTGGGTCTTCTGCATGAGAGTCCGACGTCCTACTAGGTAAGCTGAAGCGCCAGTGACGTCCTTTGTATCTGTAACATTTATGTCCTTGATGACAGCTGAAACAACGTTCAAAGAACGGTTTGGAGCGAAAATAGCTATTTTGTTGCTAATTTGCAGGAAATGTCTAGAAGAAAGTTCTACAGAAAGTAGTTATGGGTCCTCAGAAATGTAGCTAGCTTTGTCACTAGGCGTTAGCAACAGCGACAAAGTGGCACTGCCTCTCTCTCTGCTGCTAAAGCTACGGATAGCAAATGCTACGGGCGATGCCTGAGCGTGAACGCGCATGAAGCAGCCTGCTCGACCCGAGCATCTCTCTTTTTCTGTGATTTTACAGAAAAACAGGCAATCACAGTAAAAATGCCAGGGCTCATTCTACAGGACCAGGGCATTGCAGGAGAATGTATGAAGAAGACATTTATTATTTCTATACATGTTTTGGCTGTCAAACTTCCATAATGTCCCTTTAACTCTGGATCAAAAATAGTCAAAAACAAAGAAATAAATAAATCATAAAAATGAGAAAAGCAAAAGATGTGAGGAAAGGGAAAAAGAAAATGAACAAGAAAAGGTAATCAGTGGATCCCGAAAAAAGCAGAATCAGCAGATGGAGCAGAACAAAGCTAACTCAGGTGTTTGCTAACCATCAAAATTAAGTACCGTCCACCTCGGGGGCGGGACTCTAACCTATGAGAATCCAACCATTTGGCCAAATGGGTGAAGAGCTCTATTTGATTAGTTTAAAAAAAAATCATGCTTCACTTTGATTGAAAGAATGCGTTATGTGTAGCAAACATTTGAGCTGACCATTCATTGCAATTTTTATCTGTTTTTTGCGATATACATATCGCACATGCTGATATCGCGATAACAATATATTTGCGAGATATTGTGCAGCCCTATAGCAAACCCTGTCCGGTGTGACATAAGACCCCTACAACATTTATTTTCATGTTCAAATGGAAATAAATACCTTTGAGGGTTTTTGTAGATTTTACATTCAGTCTTTTTTTAAATCTCAAATCAGGGAATTAATAGACTTTACTTTCTATAGCCCACCTGCATCTCTGTTGCCTCAAAAATATATGAACACATCATCTTGCAAAGATATTTGACATTATTTACTCAAATAGCAACGTTAGCATTTTAGACAACAGAACATGTTGGTGAATCTTCCAGTCCTCCCATTAACCTCCCATGAAGACATGCATTCAACTGTAGAGCAGACTCTTACCAGCTGCCTGTTAGCTCGCAAGATCTGAAGACATGCACAGCGTGAAGGCAGAAGGAAAAAGGCATGATCAACCAAAGATGGGAGGAAAACGACAACTGAGGGAGAGTTAGAAAGGTGAGTGCATTCAGAAACAGCAGACTACAGGCAGAAAGAAAGAAAGATGGCAAGATATGTAGCAGGAAGAAAAATAAGAAGGAAAGTGAACTGTCTAGTAAAAAATGAGAAACAGACAGATCCCAAACAGCAATATCAGGGAAAAGGTTAGAAACACCAGCAGGTAAACAGATGCATTAATAGCATTACATTTCAACAAGCTCTGGACCGAATACCTACCATTTATGACTGAACTGACCTTTCTCTCAGCTGTAACATTTCTAAGAAATCGACCACACAAACTTCACGTACACAAACAATACAATCAAAACACACACCTGTCCATTCCCCATCAGCGTTGTGTCTTCTCCCATCAGTATGTAGGACCCAAAGAAGAAAACAAAGGCGTGACAGAAGCCCAACAGAGTCCAGTACAAGAAGGTCCGGAAAGACAGCAGAGAATTCCTGCTGATGTCTCTGTTGATGACACACAGTCCGACTTCACTTCCGAACTGAGTTCAAGTATAAATCATGCTTTAATGATTTAAAGGGGTCACCATATTTATGTAGTATGTTACAAAATAATCAGCATCTTTTGCTGAAAAGCAGACAAGATTCTTCCCTGGAAGCATTTGAAAACAACTGCTTCCAACTGACGAAGAAGATGAAGGTTACACACAGCTTTACCTGTACAGACCAGGTTTACTCTGGAGTACATGTGGGTGCACCAGCTGTTCAAACAGACTGTACACCAGGATGGGCAGCGAGGTGAAGCAGATGTTGTACAACGTCAGGTAAACACTGTCATACAGAGTCTGGATTGGACAGAGACCACATGTCAACAGCTAAATAGCAGCATCAAACTCATCCAACAAACAGGGTATCTGCAGGTTTAAGGGAGCCAAATTGAAGACTTTTTAAGACCTTTTTAAGGCCACTTTGACCAAATTTAAGCTATTTTTTAAAATTTAATTTAAGCTATAATTTCCGGCTATTGCCTGGAACCGGTGCTAACCAAGTCGCGAACGTGGGATTAGCATCCAGTTACCATTAAACTTGCACTTCCCCATGGCGCAAGCTCCCACTAGCTTAACCAGCTAATGTGCTCATCTAAAAATGGCCCCCTTTCACAACCAACTGAATGTGTACGGTTCCGCTTACGCCAATATCATACACAAAAAATGCTGAACACTAGATATTCACGAAAATTTTATAGAAATAAAAGAATCGTGTTCATTGGGTCTTTGGTAATTTAAGACCTTTGGAAACTCTATTTAAGGATTCTTTGTAATCTTTATGGATTTTTAAGGCCTTAAATTTAGAAAAGCAAATTTAAGACTTCTTAAGACTTTTTAAGGACCCGCGGATACCCTGAGCAAAGCCTGAACATCAACAGGAAGAGACGTCAGAGTCAGACATGAAGCACCAGTAAAGTGATGGTTCCCTCCATCATACCTTACTGTTTATCCACGGAGTTTAATAAAACATAATTCCACAGATACATTTATCTTTTCATTCCAAAGAAAACATCTGAATGTGGCATTTAAAACTGTCAAACCAATTCATCTTTTTATGAACTGGAAACTAAATCCCTGTAAAGTGGCCTAAAGGCACGACTATGTAACACAGGAACAAAACAACAACACAAAGGGAAACAGAAATATAAAGAAACTTACTTGTTGCGAAAACAAACAGAAGAACTGGTATAAAAACTGTGGCGTGATAAAACACACATTCTAGAAAAGGGAGGGAGGAGAAAATAATTTACCAGCTCATGAGTGAAAAGACGTATATTATTTTAATAAATGGAGCCAGAATATACCTTGTAGAAAAAGTACTGTACAAGCGTAGCTATTCGAATGTAGTAGAAGTGACCGTGGACCAGCAGGAGTTTAGCCAGGAACTTAAACCTAGCTATTGCATAGTCACTGTTTCTCACGGCCTGACGACCCTCCTTCCCCATGATACCTGGACACACACACACACACACACACACACACACACACACACACACACACACACGCCTTTAAAACACATACAGTAGAGTAACGCCAGGATCACATCAGCTGCAAAGCGCCACGAAGCGGATCACTCATGAATTTTGCGCGCTGCTCCTCTGTTCACATCAGGCCAGAATTTTCGACGAACGCTTCTGCTCACGCCTCATGTTTTCCAAACCCCCAGCCCCGAGCCCTTGCTGTGTGTGTGTGTAACCAAGCCCTGCTTGTTGATATCAGAAAGTGCGCTGATCCTGCTGCTGATATGTAGACCAGTTCCTTTCTAAGTGGTTAAGTAAATAGTGTTTGTGGTGGTGTACAATGCTACAGTATGTTTACCTTTGAATTAAAGTCATTTATTCGTATTTGCTCGGGAAGTGAATCTCAGAGCAACTCACGATTTGATTCGATTCCGATTCTCGGGGTGCCGATTCGATTCAGAATCGATTCTTGATTTAAATCGATTCACAATCAATATTAACAAAGAGTGTCAGTTCCAGGATTAACTACTTTGTTGTGCAAGTTAGTTAAAGCTATGGGATTTTTTTTATTTTACTTTAAATTGGTCATGCTACAAAAAAGAGCTAATTTACAAGGTAAAATAAAGTGATTCTAAAACTAAAAAGAAACAATATTTTGAATAAAATGCAACATTTATTTTTGCTTACCTTGTAAAATATAACAAATCTTTAGTTACCTAACAGTAGCTTTGAAAGTAATACAGTCAAATACTTTTTAAGTATCTGTAGAAACAAGTTTAACATTTGAGTCCTCAACCTGTTTAAAAAAAGTGCCTCAGATTTCTTACAAAGGAAAATCTTTTCTCTCATTTATCAATAACTTCAAATAAACACATGAGTAATCCCGAGTACTGCAACTTCCTGGAGTTCCTGGAATCGAACCTTTGTGAATCGATTCTGAATCATTCTTAATAAGAATCCCGATTCAGACTTGAATCGATTTTTTTCAGCACCTCTAGTTTTTAAGTTTCTGGCTATGCTAATGGTGACTTTTGACAGACTTCTCTGAGCTCCACAGCCATTACACTTTTCACCTCGCACACCCCCTAGCGGCAGCTCTCGCACCCCCAGGGGTGCGCGCACAACACTTAGGGAATCCCTGCATTAGAGGAATAGCTTTTGATGGTATGATGTCATTTTCTGTCATGTTTGAAAATGTTACTGTACAATAAGAATATTTTCATGAAACTTGATATAAGACAATCGCGGATTAAATAGAAATAGAAAATTCTGCTAGAATTTTGGCGATTCAGCCTCTTCCTAAAATCGACCAGCAGTATAAAGCTGTGTGTGTGTGTGTGTGTGTGCAGGGGATCCATTTACCTATGCCCACATGGGCTTCTTGTATCATGCTGACATCATTTGCTCCATCCCCAACGGCCAAGGTGATTGGCTTCTCTGGAGAGGTCTTCAAAAGTCGCACCACCTAAAAAGAGAAATGTGATATAATGTTTACATAAACTCCACAATGTGAAGACGCTGACACTTGTGGGAAGAGTGACCAAATCTTTTATAGGGATGTGTGTCCATCAGTGCGTTTACATGGCAACCGAACTATTGACTAGTGGGCTCAATACACGGGGGCGACAAACGACCGCGATCAGCGAAATTCGTCGCTATCGCTTTTATTACCTGACACACGGGAGACGACTCGCGGCAGCGGCAAAGCCGTCGATGCGTTCTGCTCCATGGCGAAATCGAATCTTCCATTGTTTTGATTGGCTGTGTCGGGTTGGAGGGAATTAAGGTTATTTAAGCGGTTCAGAGTTTAAAAAGCGGTAGATATGATGTTTCACAAGGTGCTGCTAGAGTTATGCAGCTCTGGCGCAAAAGGCGCAGGGCAAAGAGGTGCCGGTTGCAGCGGTGAAGGTGAACGGGACTATGGTCGTGGAGGCTGGTGTCTGCTTCCAGCCTGGCAGCAGGCCTGTGCCAGCAAGGCGCCAGCATATACTAATAATAGTCACCAACAATTTCCCATGCCGCGGCCTTTTTGTGAATATCTCTATACTTTTTGGTAGAAATATTGTACAGTTCTGGGAAATCCGTCACAGCAAGTGTCAACTTCTCCTCCATGTTTGCTCGGAGATGTACGAAGCATCCTGTCCGCTCATTGGTCAGTGAATGAAACCTCCGCTGATTGGTCCTCGTCCGAGCGACAGCGGTGAAAAGTTGAAAATATTTCAACTGTCTGGGATCGCGTCGCTGGGTCGCCTGTGCACGACACGTGCGCAAGCGCAAAATTTCACACGAACGTTTTTCGCGTTTCGCTTAGTAGGAGGGAGACCCGCGATTATCGCTTTGCCGACCATGTCTCATTGAAAATGAATGGAGGAGGCGATGTCGCCTCCCGTGTGTCGAGCCCATAAGGCAGGGGTCCCCAATCCTGGTCCTGGGGGGCCGGTATCCTGCATGTTTTAGTTTGAACTCTGTTTCAACACACCTGACTTCAATCAGCAGCTAATTAACAGGCTTCTGCAGAGCCTGATGAGCTGCTGCACAGGTGTTTCAACCACTGAATCAAGTCTGTTGGAGCAGAAAAACCACAAGGCCTGCTGGATACCGGCCCTCCAGGACCAGGATTGAGGACCCCTGCTAAGGCTTACATAGGCAGACGTTGGAATTTGAAGATGCATTTAAACACGTTAGTCTGACTGAAGCCAATCTGACTCTGAGCTGAAGAACCCAGCTAATGCATGTAGAAACTGACTTCTTCTGCATGGAAACAGCTCCGCCGAGCTCGTGCAGGTTGGACACTCGCCTACCGGAAGTGAGGAGATGGTGGAAGCGGTCATCCGATATCACATCATCTAAGAAACATACAGTATAGCCCAAATAAGCTGTGCTGCAGCGTTGTTGTCCATTCCTTCAGCCGTTGTGCATATCATGATTTAACTCCACCTGCTTCACTCCCACCAGTTTGTTTACCATTTATGTTGCTATAAGCTAAGTGGAAGAATACCGACACAAAAGGGTGAATGTCGGACAAGCAAACTAATGATTTACTGTTGTGTAGAGTGCTTAGGAGTCCTCTGACTAAGAAAGGTGTTATAAAAGTGCAGCTCGTTTATCTTCATCTTTTAGATCTTTACCTTGGCTTTCTGCAGTGGGGCCATGCGGCAGCACAGCACAGCTGAGCAGTTTTTACACACTTCCATGAAGAGCTTCTCGTGCTCCCTCAATGCCAAAGACAGACTGGCCCCGTCGACAACCAACCCATGTTGAATCACATGGTCGTCCTTTATCCTGAGAACAAATATTCAGGCTAATAGGAACAAAATAATTCCCAATTCTAAAAACTATATACTTGAAAATGTCGTCAGACTTTAGAAAAGATAATCCAACACACCTTCTGGCCAGTCTGCGAAGCTGCTCAGCACACTCGTTATCAGAGCGTTGCTGGAGGAGCTCCAAGATGTTCATGGTCCTGTGAAAGTGGCCACAGGACAAGCTGACACTAACCGCTGTCTCGTGTTTGTCCCCTGTCAACACCCACACTTTGATTCCCGCCAGTCGCAGAGCCTCAATGGTCTCCTGAACTTTGTCTTGAAGTCTGAGACAGAAGGTAACGTGTGAGGTGTAGCTCAGGGTGCGGTGACTTGTGCATGACAGCATAACACTGACACCACAGATAATCCAACTTCTGGCCACAGCTAGTGTTCCTATAGAGACCGAGCATGACCCTCCCCATCCGCCATGCATTTTACTCATATATGACTGAAAACAAAAGGAAATGCTCGTCTCGCTGTTCGTACCAGGGAAGAACTTTTGAATGTGACCAGGTGTGCCCACAAAGACGGAGCAGTGAAGAGTGAAGTAACAATCAATTCAATTCAGTTCAAAAATACTTTATTAATCCCAGAGGGAAATTGACTGCTGTAGTAGCTCAGAATAATAATAATAATCAAGTCATCAAAGAGTTGTTGTATATTACAATGGCTGTTGGCAGGAAGGGTCTCCAGTAGCGGTCAGAGTTGCAGCGAAACTGAAGAAGCCTCTGACTGAAGACACTCTTCCGTTGTCGGACAGTCTTGTGAAGAGAATGCTCAGGGTTGTCCATCATTTTCTTGATTCTCTGGAGAATCCTTCTTTGCATTATCTCCTCCAGTGGTTCCACAGTCGTCCCCAGAACAGAACCAGCCTTTTTTATTAGGCTGTTGGGCCTTTTCAGGTCCCTGCTTCTGATGCTGCTACCCCAACAGACGATGGCTGAAGAGATTACACTCTCAACAACAGACTTGTAGAAGATCTGCAGCATCTTGCTACAGACATTGAAGGACCTAAGCGTCCTCAAGAAGTGCAGTCTGCTGTGTCCCTTCTTGTAAACAGCTTGGCTGTTCTTTCTCCAGTCCAGCCTGTTGCCCAGGTGAACTCCAAGGTATTTGTATTCCTCAACCACCTCCACTTCTTCTCCCATGATGGAAACCGTGTTTGACTCCACCCACAAGTCTAAAATCATCTCCTTTGTTTTGTTCACATTCAAGGTCAGATGATTGTTTCCACACCATGCCACAAAGTGCTCCACCAGCTCTCTGTACTCAGCTTCCTGTCCATCTCTGATACACCCGACAACTGCAGAGTCATCTGAGTATTTCTGTAGATGACAGGTCTCTGATTTGTACCGGAAGTCTGAGGTGTACAGGGTGAAAAGGAATGGTGAGAGTACAGTCCCCTGTGGTGCTCCAATGTTACTAATCGCCTGGTTTGATGTGCAGTTCTTCAGCCTCACAAACTGTGGTCTGTTTGTCAGGTAGTCTTTAATCCAGGCGATGCAATCATGGTGTGAGAAGCCGGGGTTAATGTGAAGCACAAATGCAAACACACAGCAACATTTTTATCAGAGAGGCTTGGAGAGGTGACATCTTCAGGTGTCTTCTTCTCTTCCTGCTGCCTTTTTAGACAGCTTTAAAATAACCCGTCTTTTCTTTGAAGTCGGTTTACTTACAAAGAATAATACACATTTAGGACAATATTGTGTTAAATTTTAAATCCCTTTTCCATCATTTAACTGTTTGAGAATTAAAATAAGTGGCAGAATAATTAAAACTTCTAACAGAGTAGCTGTTTGGGAACATCAACACAGTTACAGCCATCCTTTTAAATTCTGCTAATTAGAGGTGAACCAAAAGTGCACCTGAGGCTGTTAGGAAAGAAATTGGTTTTAGAGGCTTGGTCGTAGGTCAGAAGAAAGATAAAAATATATTAGGGTGATAATTAAGGAAGACCAGATTAATTCACTTCTGTTAGTTTAACAGGGAAAAGTTAAGAGAGGCTAATTATTGATTTGAAGAACAGGCAACAAAACCAGTCATCACTGAAATACTTGTTTGACCACCTGACACGGATTACTATTAAAAAGCTCACTAAACAGTGGAGTAGCACGCAGCATGTTGTGTTTTTTGTTTCATTGAAGCAATCATTAAATAATCCACGAAGGAATAACAACTTTATTGTGAATTATTGTTAAAGAAGCATACTTGTCCTCCACGGCGGTTGCTCCCAGGAGCTGCAGATCTCTCTCGATGTGGCTGAAAGCTTCCTGCAGACGCTCCTCTCTCTGCTGCAGAGCAGTGCGCGCGGCGGTCAGGCGCTTGTCCACATCGATGTACTCCTCTGGAGAGAAGTGGCGACATGCAACCACGAGGGTCCGCATACCTTTCTGCAACGCACAGAGGATGGGTGCAAGAGTAAACAACAAAAGAAAATACATTCAATTGAAGGATAAAAGGAAACATGCAATAAAAACTTTAACCAAAAAAAGATTAAAATTAAAATACAAAAGCGCCAAAAACAATTCGATAAGATTTAGTTGGGGGATGGCAAGATTTGTAGTGGAGAAATGCAGAGGAATTACCACTGAACAAGCCTGAGAGGCTGCTGACCACAAATCAGTCCAGTTCAGAGCACCACCACGGTGCTGACATATGATGACATCATGTGTGCATGTGTCATATGATGTGTGTGACTGGGTTTAATGAGAAACACAGCTTCATCACTGCATCATTAGCTAATCACACTCTACACACACCCGCACCACCATTATTGCTCAAATCAAGCCAGAAACATGTCGCTTCAGCCTAAATGTTTTCTTCATCTTTTTAGACAAAACATGACTCAATGGTTAACTCGTTCACTGCCAATGACGACTAAAGTCATTTGCATTTTTTTTACTGCCCTCGAATGGTTTAAGTCATACCTTAATGGTCGGTGTTTTAGTGTTCATGTTGGAGACTGCTCTTCTCCCAATGTCCCACTTCCATGGGGAGTACCGCAGGGCTCCATCCTGGGTCCTCTCCTCTTTTCAATTTACATGCTACCACTTGGTAAGATTTTCGCAAGTCTCGGGGTTAACTACCACTTTTATGCAGATGATTGCCAGATCTAGCTTCAAATCAACCAACAGCACTCATTTTCTCTAATGTCAGAATGCCTCCCAGGTCAGATCCTGGCTTTCTCAAAACTGCCTACGATTAAATGACAGCAAGATGCCATACTTTGTAGCCCCACTAACATGAATGGTGCTTTAAATGTCTCAACTCTTCCACTTAATCTCAAATCATGTGCCACTAGCCTAGGTGTGAAACTGGACTCTGACCTTTCAATGTCTTCACAAGTCAGCGCTACAGTCAAGTCCTGCTTTTTCCAACTCCGCCGCATCACTCGTCTTAAGTCAATCCTCAAACGCCCGGATCTTGAGTCAGTCATTCATGCTTTCATTACTTCACGTCTGGATTACGCGAATTCTGTCCTGATTGGGATTAATGCTTCAGCCTTAAGCAAACTGCAGAAGGTACAAAATGCCACGGCCAGATTTTTAACCAACACCGACAGACGCATGCACATCAGTCCCATCCTCGCAGATTTACACTGGCTCCCAGTCAAATTTAGGATTAACTTCAAGGTCTTGTTATATGTTTACAAGGCTTTGTACTGCCCATCTCCATCCTATCTGACGGACCTGCTGACCCTGTATGTTCCCACCCATAGCCTTCGGTCAACAGATCATCTGCTGCTTGTTGTTCCGAAGGTTCGGTACAAATCACGGGGGGAGCATGCCTTCTCTTATGCAGCCCCAAAACTCTGGAACTCTGCCCTTCCGTGTGCGTCTGGCTCCCTCTGATAGCAGTTTCAAGTCGGCCCTGAAAACACACTCCTTTAGTATTGCCTTCCCTCCGTGACACTTTTCATGAAAATCTAGCACCGGATTTGATTTTTTAATTCCGTTTTTATGATTCAGTTGCACACTTTTGGCACCTCGCACCATCTGGTAGCTTATTTCGTTTTATTTGTGCCATTTCAAATGTTTTTATCATTCATCACATTATTTTATTTTATAGTGCTGCTAACTGTTCTCCTATTTTATTGTTTTTAGTAGGAATTTTTATCACTGACTATTTATGCATTGTTCTTATGTATTTTGCCTGTTCTTATTGTGTTTCTTGTTGAAGCATTTGGCTTTTTTATGTACAGCACTTTGGTTAGCGGCCAAACTTTCAGCGCCTTGGGCTTCCTGACAGGGTTGCGGAAGGCGCTTTATAAATAAAGCTTTGATTTGATTTGATGCCGTTTTGAAATGGTGCTTTATAAATAAATATGGTATGGTATGGTACTGTGTGGGCATCGGAACGAGCCCCCGCACCGTGAGAACAAACATCCCAGCTCTAAAGCCGATCTTCATCCTCGTACGTCATGTGATCAGGAAGCAGAAAATCCACGTGTTAGGAGATCGTTTTGGGCCGCTGCTGTAAAAAAAAGTGAGGCGCGAACCGGAAAAGCTTCTGCCGATCACAATTCAACAATAGATTACGAAAGAACGGATAACGCTCGAAACGTGCGGATTCCTCTTGATGTAAGAGCAGAGTCTCCGCTTTGTTTTGGTGTCGACATTATCATAGCGCGCAACTTTCTTTGAGTTTTAAAAAAACAGTAAAAATGCTGAAAAACGCTGGCAGCAAAGGGCTTTTCTAATCAGGAAATGGCTGGCAGTGAATGAGTTAATATTCTGAATTTCTTACCAAAGCAAACTCATCCACATGAAGTCTCGTTTTCTCAATCTCACCACTACTGCTGAAAGGCAAGATGGCCGACTCAGCGCCCTTGGTGAACAGCAGTTTTCCTCCTTTAAAATATAGTAGTAACAAAATTACAAACATAAGTATTTTTATTTTCTTCAAGAGGATCTTTGTTTTTTAGATGCACAGTTGGAGGCTGAAGGCAGTTTATTTACAACAGAAACAAAAACATTTGTGTGGTAGAAGAAGACAACAGCACCTGAGGGAGTTTGCAGGATGACGCTCATTCTCCTGCGATTTGGATCAAACTCCAGCACATGGAGTAGTTTATACCTGGGAGACAGAAACGTGCATTACAATTCTTCTCTGGTGCAGAAACTATGCAACACATTTTTGAAAGACATAGTTTTGTAATCTGTACTAGATGCACTTCTTGCTAAAGTAAAGGAATAAGTTTGTAAGCAATCTAGAACTGTGTTTGAATTGCAACAGTTGCAAAAAGGAACATACTTTTCACATTTGCCAAATGTTTTGATTTCCATGGTCTCTCCATTTCTGCCTGTGAAAGCTACTCCAATCCTAAAATGAAAGGAAAATACCCTAAGAATTAATAGATGTTAAAGGACAATTGACAAATATTTTTTATTTATTTGCAGTGGTTTCTAGTAGGAGCAAACGCCTTGTAAGTTGTTCTTTAGGAAAAAGAAGTTCCAGTGTGCCTGTTTGAGGATGTAGAAGTCAGCCGGAAGAGATGGTGGCAACTATTTCCTGATATTTGGACATCTCTCCTCTGATTGGCCAACAGCGACATGATTCTACCACCGACTCTGTTCTGTAAAGTTGATGTTTTATCTACACAACTAACTCAAGCCTGGAGGAGTTCTGCTGTTTGGTGGAGTTGCTAATGCTAATGACTAGCTTCTACTAGTCGAGATGTTCTCTGCCGTTTCCTGGACGCTAAACCAACAACAGCCTTCCCCGTCGGAAGTCAAGATGGGTGAGTCCATGAATGTTAAGTGACAGCGTGATGTAGATCTGTCAGGATTTTTTTAACCGAATGTTTTTCCGTCAATTTTCTATCAGAAGCTAATGCAGGAGGGCAGTAGAAGTCTAGTGCTGAACGATTTTAGAAAAACACTGAATTGCGATTTCAGTTCATATCTCGATTTTCTTCAAATCAAGGTTCAACACAATATTTATAATATTTCCGCGACTTAAGAGGCAAACTAAAAGCCGCTTGAGAGGCTGAGTCGGGCCGGCGTGACGCGCTCTTTACGAACATCAGCTGCGATTCCAAAAACTTTATTAGAGTAACTCCAATTAACTCGAAACATAACATGCTCAAAATCAAACAGTACAATTATCACAGCGATCAACTGACGGTCAACAAAAATATGCGGCAACTTGCTCACCCACTCCTCCTTTTCCCATATTATCAGAGCAGGTGCTGGAGATGTTAAATCCCCACCCATGATCACCTGACCTGACAATGATCTCCGTTTACAACAAATAAACCCACCAAAAACACATCAAGAAACATGTATATGTCTCCTATATATATATATATATATATATATATATATATATATATATATATATATATATATATATATATATATATATATAACATTTAGTCATACAATAAAAGCATTTAAAGCCAACCCATTTTTTTCAACCAACCCAATAGTGAAGCAACTTGTGATTTTTATCAAGAGAAGCGCTTTCTGTAAAACATGTTGTTCTTCTTGTTCTACTGTAACAAGGAAAAGTGAAGGTAAAAGTAGCTTTCAAGTTTAAATATGAAAATATTCATAGTTTTCTGCATTACTAAGCTAAGCTGCCCGAATGTTTTTCTGTGCCGTCTGAACTCACTAAACACCTCTGACACATTTACATGCTTGTTTGAATTAGTGTGCCATCAGAAAAATTCAAACCATTTTCGTTTTCAGCTCGACTAGAGTGCTCCCTCCCTCTCTCACTCCCTCCCTCCCTCACTCACTCACTCACTCATGGTGCTGAGAGTCGGCACTTGCTGCAAACGGTGACAGAATTATTATGGGCTTTAGCATCTCTACGTATTGAAAAAATAAAACGGGAAAAATAACCAAAATGTGCAGCAATGAACAACTGGTCTCGGCTCCAATAAACCCCCTCTCCCGTGCTGGCTGTTGCCGTGGTAACACAGGGGCAAAACCCTAGATGTGTAAAAAGTTGACAAAACAGACCCTGGATCAGTAAGGAGCGCTACACACACACACACACACACACACACACACACACACACACACACACACACACACACACACACACACACACACACACACACACACACACACACACACACACACACACACACACACACACACACACACACACACACACACACAAAAAAAACCACACAAAAAAAAAAAAACACGCAGCTTTGACGATCTTTTGACCGCTTTGTTTAAAATCGCAGACTCAGTCTAAAAAACGATTGATTGTCCAGCCCTTTAGAAGACTATTTTCATATTCATCCTGCATGACAAACATGACTGATCATCTTAAAAAATGTAAAAATCCTTTCTGGGTGAGCCTACTCTTAATTTAGTAGAAGAAGAAATGAGCAATCTTTTATACAGCACCTCTCTCAAGATAAATATCACAAGGATTAGGGGCTTTCATGTTTTTGTCCTAGTTTATTATCTTATAATAATCGAAGGGAAATAGCAGAGATGAACACATAAAGTTCTATCTACTGTGCTGTACTTTAGTAAAAGTAAAGGCAGAGCTCTTCTCTTGAGTCTGAGTTAACAGAGAAACCTGTCACAGAGACAAATACATACTAGAGCGTAAACTGTTCTCATTTATAATTTAAAACTATAGAATATGAAGACTACATCATCAATGTATGCTCAACTCTTTTAGGGTATTTAAACAACTATTTTTCCTCAGGCACTTCCCAAAAAAGACCATCTGAAACTTAAAGGAAAACAGAAAGTATTTAATGAAGCTAAAGCCAGGTCACCTCTTTGCTGCCTCTACTAAAGCCTTCTCGTCTGGTGAAGAGGCATAGTACTCCATGGAACTAGAGGAGAAACCATTGGCATGGGAGAAGGGATCCCCTCCAACCAAACAGTCAGCCTGATCATAGCTGATCTGAACAGTGTGGCACAACGACACCGCCTGGAGAAATAGTACTTCCTCACCCATCTGTAAAGGGAAACGAGACATCTACCATGTGTTATTGGGAATAAACAAGTTTGAGCTGCACAGCACCACGTGTTTACTTTTAGCTATTCGTAACAAAATATAGTTTAAAGAGCAAGTCACCCCCTACCAGATTCTTACTCAACTCCCACTTCCTGTTTGAAAAATGCAACTAATGCTGTTGCCTAGCAGACCGAGAGGGTGAAGCCGCTAATACACACACTCACGACACTGTGACGTCATAATGTACCATCTAACATCATAGTGTACCTCTTAGCCAATAGCGACGGCAGATTTAAATTCAAATGCAGTGCAGAGTTTTTACCTGACGACGGTGCAACACTGACAGTTTTAGGCAGAATATTAAAATTTGTAACTAAGATGCACTAAAGTGCCGAATTATTGACTTCACATGTCTGCAGCACGATCAGACACTCATTTATATGGTTTATCAGGAAAAAAAATGTTGATTTGGAGTGACTTACTCTTTAATTTTCCTGTGCTCAGCACTGTAGATTTAAACAAGCCCATTAGGTTAGTACACTTGGCCAATGATGTATATTACAACAAATGAGTATTCACACTGTTGTGCCACAGCAGCACCAGACCTCTGACGAGGTTTAACACAACTGGACCAAATTCTGCTCCTTTCTAATTGCACAAGGAGGATATTTTAAATCGAAAACAATCATAAGACCTTCTCATCTCATTTTGCAATTACTTTTGAAATGCATTTACTAAATTGGAATGAAGAATCTGGTGTGTTCTTGCAGTTTAGTTTCAAATTCCATCTTTCTGTTCTTTTTAAAACAGATCAGCCTGATGATGTTTGCAGCCGCAAACGAAGCGTTGCAGGTAATTAAACCTTTTCTGTGTTTTAAAAAGAACTGAAAGATGGAATTGGAATGAAGAATGTTTCAATATAAACAACAGCCTGATGTTAAAACTAGGGATGTGTATTGGTGAAATTCTGGCGATACGATACTTATCGCGATATATTGCGATACGTTCAGTCGGACGATATTAGCGATTTTTTTTAGACTAAAATTATTGTAGGAAAATTCAATAAATGGTCCAAACTGATACTTAACTCATTCACTGCCAATGACGATTAAAGTCGTCATTTGCATTTTTTTACTGTTTGAGCATCGGAACGAGCCCCCGCGCTGAGAGAACAAATATCTCAGCCTTGAAGCCGATCTTCATCCGCATACGTCACAGATCACATGATCAGGAAGCAGACCATCCATGTGTTTGGAGATCGTTTTGGGCCGTTCCTGTAAAAAAAGTGAGGCGCGAACCGGAAAAGCGTCTGCCGATCACAACTCGACAACGGATTATGAAAGAACGGATAACGCTCGAAACACACGGCTTCTTCCTGATGTAAGAGGTGAGTCTCCTCTTTGTTTAGGTTGTTTTGGCATCGACATCATGCTAGCGCGCAACGTTCTGTGACTCTTAAAAAAAAAGTAAAAATGGTGAGAAACGCTGGCAGCGAAGGCCGTTAGCGATCAGGAAACGGCTGGCAGTGAATGAGTTAACATGATTAACATGAGGCATCTGAACCATAATAGAGGGATTTATATTTCAGTGGTGGAAACAAACTCCATTGCACACTGCTGCTGACTAGCGGACGGCATTTGATTTGCACCAAAAGAAAAGAAAATACACAAATGTTTGAGCGTAAATTCTTCCAAAAAAATCGATACACAGGTTTTGAACATCGATATAATATCGCAGGAAAAAATATCGCCATATATTGCTATATCGATATTTTCTTACATTACTAGTTAAAACTGTTACCAGGTGAGCTGTAGAACCATCTGGTGAATCTTCTGTCAGTCCCTCTGGTACCAATTTGCCGTTAACTTCCCGGTACTTGACTCCATTTATTGAGCACTCTTGGAACCGCATTTCATTTTCTGTTAGCGTACCGGTCTTGTCAGTAAACACGTACTCTACCTGAAAATTAAGCAAACACGCACACAGATGAATCAAGGTCCACGGTTAAAGATCTCCAAGTTTTACGGTAAAAGGTTGGCGTGTTTTCAGTAATAATATATTTCTCTACCCTTTGTACATACCTGCCCCAACTCTTCATTCAGATCAGATGTGTTGACCTGAGCTTTCTGGTCACTTTCTTCGTGGTACAAGTCCAAGTCCCAGCCAATAAAAAACGAGCCCAGAAACTTCTGCATCTCCACGGTAACGTAGAGAGAGATGGGAATGATAAAGTTATAGAGGACCAGAAACGCCAAGAAGTCTGAGATGAACTTCAGGATCTGAAGAAATATAAAATAAAACATGGAGGGATGGACAAGAGAAGTAAAGCAACATTAATAAATACATGCATTTGAGAAAGAGACCAAAGATGTGTGTCAGTAAGTTTTGCAGCATGTGGCTTCAGCACTGATCCTCCTAAATCGAAGTAGGCAGGGTAATTCATTCCCATTAAGGACTTAATTACTTCATGTGACAGGAAAGGGGCGGGAGCAGATTTCCATCAACAGCACCGATCCACTCGACAGCATGATCCACTAAGAATTAACTCACAAACCAGAACGCGAATAAAATATCCATGAGGTGGTGGAGATTTGACTATGATATATAGAAATCCAGTAAGTTCTTCTGAGTATAAAAAAAATCATTCCGAGTTTTAGAGCTCATCACCCCCTGCAGCGAGGTTACCACTGGTCTAGCCCTGGTAGGTTAATTGTGTTCACATCTGGGTAATCTGACCACTAGGGTTGGGCATCGTTTGATTTTGAACAATTCCGATTCCAATTTCTCATTTCGATTCAGGTTCCTATCAATTCCCGATTGCGATTCTTTGAAGACATGACATGCTTTACATGAGCCAGCTAACCACAGGTCCTACTTGATGAAATAATCTTAACTTCAACATGAATTTTAATTCTATGAACAACAACATCGCCTTCATTTAGACAAAAACGTTTTGGAGAAAAAAACTCAGTTCGGGTGTTGCTTTCCATCCTAAGGGTCTACGCAGGGGGCGGGCGTATTACGTGAACGGACCCATCTGATTGGCCGCATATCAGAAGGGCTACATTTGATTGGTCAAATAATACCTCCGTGAAAAAAACAGAGCTGGTTTACAAAAACTTGATGTATGACACGGATGGAAATGTTTGAACCAAACATTTATCGCCGTTTTGGACGTGCTTTGCGATGGGCCTATCGCACGTCCTGTTATCCCGGTGACGATAATTTTTCGATATATTGTGCAGCCCTAAAGCACACTGCATCCTACTCTCTCACCGAGACTGAACAGTCAGTCCTCTTGCTGGAGCAGCAGGTCCAAGCTTCAGTCAGAGATGTGTACACTCCTCTACAGGTGCTGGCCAGTAAATTAGAATATCATCAAAAGGTTGAAAATATTTCAGTAATTCCATTCAAAACGTGAAACTTGTACATTATATTCATGCAATGCACACAGACCAATGTATTTCCGATGTTTATTACGTTTAATTTTGATATTTATAGGTGACAACCAATGAAAACATCAAATCTGGTATCTCAGAAAATTAGAATATTCTAAAGGCCAATGAAAAAATGTTTGTTTCTCTAATGTTGGCCAACTGAAAAGAATGAACATGAAAAGAATGTGCATGTATAGCACTCAATACTTAGTCGGGGCTCCTTTTGCCTCAATAACTGCAGTAATGCGGCGTGGCATGGACTCGATCAGTCTGTGGCACTGCTCAGGTGTCATGAGAGCCCAGGTTGCTCTGATAGTCGTCTTCAGCTCCTCTGCATTGTTGGGTCTAGCGTATTGCATCCTCCGCTTCACAATACCCCATAGATTTTCTATGGGGTTAAGGTCAGGCGAGTTTGCTGGCCAATCAAGGACAGGGATACCATGGTCCTTGAACCAGGTGCTGGTGGTTTTGGCACTGTGTGCAGGTGCCAAGTCCTGTTGAAAGGTGAAGTCTGCATCCCCATAAAGTTGGTCAGCAGCAGGAAGCATGAAGTGCTCTAAAACTTCCTGGTAGACGGCTGCATTGACCCTGGACCTCAGGAAACAGAGTGGGCCAACACCGGCAGATGACATGGCACCCCACACCATCACTGACGGTGGAAACTTTACACTGGACCTCATGCAACGTGGATTCTGTGCTTCTCCGCTCTTCCTCCAGACTCTGGGTCCTTGATTTCCAAAGGAAATGCAGAACTTGCTTTCATCAGAAAACATAACTTTGGACCACTCAGCATCAGTCCAGTCCTTTTTGTCCTTGGCCCAGGCGAGACGCTTCTTGCGCTGTTTCTTGTTCAAGAGTGGCTTGACACACGGAATGCGACACCTGAATCCCATGTCTTTCATGAGTCTCCTCGTGGTGGTTCTTGAAGCGCTGACTCCAGCTGCAGTCCACTCTTTGTGGATCTCCCCCACATTTTTGAATGGGTTTGTCGTCACAATTCTCTGCAGGGTGCGGTTATCCCTAGAGCTTGTACACTTTTTTCTACCACATTTTTTCCGTCCCTTCGCCTGTCTGTTAATGTGCTTGGACACAGAGCTCTGCGAACAGCCAGCTTCTTTAGCAATCACCTTTTGTGTCTTGCCCTCCTTGTGCAAGGTGTCAATGATTGTCTTTTGGACAGCTGTTAAGTCAGAAGTCTTCCCCATGATTGTGGTGCCTTCAAAACAAGACTGAGGGACCTTTTAAAGGCCTTTGCAGGTGTTTTGAGTAAATCAGCTGATTAGAGTGGCAGCAGGTGTCTTCTATATTCAGCCTTTTCAGAATATTCTAATTTTTTGAGATACCAAATTTGGAGTTTTCATTAGTTGTCACTTATGAATATCAAATTTAAATGTAATGAACATTGGAAATACATTGGTCTGTGTGCATTGCATGAATATAATGTACAAGTTTCACGTTTTGAATGGAATTACTGAAATATTTTCAACCTTTTGATGATATTCTAATTTACTGGCCAGCACCTGTATATCCAGACTGATGGTGAATACGGAACCCGCCACTGGCTCAGTCTACCCACCAATCAGAGGCTCATTTTAGTAGGTAGGTGTTAACTTCAGCCAGCCAGTCGGTATGTGGTGGGTCGGCGGAGCACCAAGCTGACCGCCGGGGAGCGGGTCCATAAAACCGGTCAGTGGTCAGTAGGGTTGGTCATCGAGCATCGATTGGAACCGGTTCCAACTGTTCATTTTTCCCAGAATCTCTCAACGTTTTTATTTCGATTCCTAGAATGCAGACGGAAGAGGAATCCGCGGCTGATCTCCGTGAAAAATAAACGTGATCTGCAAATTGTGATCAACGCTTTTCAGAGCTGATCCCAGCAGCTGTCTGTCTGCAGCACCGAGTCCCCCCTCCCCCCACCCAGCGCGCAGCGGCCAAATATAAACAAACGTGTCTGCCAAACTTTTACTCCGTAATCTAACTTTAACTCCTGCAGCGTAGAGGAAACGTGTTAAATACGTCAACACAGTGGATTTAATAGAAGCTTTAAAGAACAAACTCTGGACGGCGTGAGGTGAGTTTGTCTCACTGCAGAAATAAAAACACACGGAGCATCAGAAGGCTGAACAATAACCTGTAGAATAATTAAAGTCATATAGATCCTGGTCGATGAGACCGATTATTGCTGGCAGGAAAGCTGGCGAGCCAACAGACTGGACCTGTGATATCCTGTCAAATCTAAAAACACTAAAACCTCTCCAGCAGCTTTTATGTTTAAATTTGGTCACACAACTCTCTTCTTACCTCCTTTTTAAATTAGATTTAACTAGAAATATACAGTTTGGAAAATGTTACCATTTGGTTACAAAGGAAAAGTGGGAGAATAAACATGAAACAAATGAGATGTTAAAAGCTACAGATTCTATTTGTGAATCTGAGCATCTTAAAGCAAAAACAAACATTTTTTTCCCAGTAGAAAAGAAAAAAAAAACATGGCAGACTAACCGAACTGCTGTTTTTCTCTTGCTCGGTCTTTTGGTTGTAGAAAGGTTCATCCCATTTGTCTTCAGCCTGCCAGGCGTACTTCAGAATAGTGCTGAGCACAGCCTCGGACAACAAGATCCCCAGGTAGATGAGGAGGAAGGTGTTCATGGACCTGAACGGGAAAATCATTTTAAAATGTTAAACTTTCATTAGGCCTCTCCTGGAAAAGCATCACTTTGAATACATCAAACTATTTACTTCTCTACTGCGGAGCGCTTCTGGGACTTGCACTTGTAGTTGAGCGCCATCTTGGATTCCATTCCGGTGTAAACGGCCACACCTGCATCAGTAGAGGTTGTTTAGTTAATACATCAGGATTGTGGCTCGCCTGTTCTTACTCCGAGACAGAAGAATAAAAAAGATATTTTACATATAAAACTGCACACGGGCCACACTTCTTTTGTTTTCTAATCTGTTAAATTAGTTTTAAAAGTCAGACCAGACCCTGTCCTTGTTAAAATAATCAGATTTCAGCACCATGACACCGAGTGAGCCGTAGCCACAGAGAATGATTTTATTGTGTTACAGCTCTGATTTGATTATTTCAACCACCCTTAGGTGATGTCCGTTCCACCAGACAGCAGCTCTCTAATCTTCTCTGCTGTTTAACATGGAAACTTCCAGCGTTAAATCAATTAAAATTTCTAGACACGTCGTTCTGAGATGGAAATCTGGGTTTGGTCAAAGCCTTTCTTCTTCAAGCTGTTCATTACTCACCAAAAATCTCTTTGGTATTTTTCAGCCTGGCGCCTCGCAGCAGCAAGTTCTCTGGCCCCAGAGGCCTGATAGTAAAGTAAAAAATAAAAGCCAAAATATCAACGCACGTTTTCAAAGTGTGAAGATGATGATAATAATTAGGGCTGCACGATATATCGCAAATACATAGTTATCGCGATATCAGCATGCGCAAAATGTATATCGCAAGAACAGATAAAAATTGCAATGAATGGTCAGCTCAAATGTTTGCTACACATAACGCATTCTATCAAACGGAAGCATTATGATTTTTTAACAAATCAAATGGAGCTCTTCACCCATTTGGGTGGGTTCTCATAGGTTAGAGTCCCGCTCCCGAGGCGAACGGCACTTAATTTTAATGGTTAGCAAACACCTGAGTTAGCTTAGCTCTGCTCCATCTGCTGATTCTGCTTTTCTCAGGATCCACTGATCGCCTTTTCTTGTTCATTTTTTTTCCCATTTCCTCACATATTTTGCTTTTCTCATTTTTATGATTTTGTTGTCATTTTTCAATGTCTTTGTTTTTGATTATTTTTGTTCTTAAGCCACGTTTTTATATATTTTAATCTATCATCTGTTTATGAAATTTTATCATTTTATGACTATTTTTTCTGATTTTAATCAATTTCTGTTATGAGATCATTATGATTTTACGACTTGTTTTTGTCATGATCCTAATCCTGCCGTGACCTGTTGCCTGAGCAACCATAGCCCGCACCTCATCAGCTCCATTCATTCCACTTGTTCCTCTCATCAGCTCCCTCTGCTACATATATTCTGCTATCAGTCTCCTGATTTCACGGTTAGCAGAGTCTGTTGGGATTCGAGGAGTTGCTTTGGACTGGTTTAAGTCCTATTTGGCTGAGAGGTCGTTTTGTGTGTCATTAGGTGGCTTCACGTCATCTCCCTCACCTCTAGTTTGCGGGGTTCCACAAGGATCGGTACTGGGTCCATTATTGTTCTCTCTGTATTTGCTACCTCTGGGTTCTATTTTTACAAAACATGGATGTTCTTTTCATCTATATGCAGACGACACCCAGGTTTATATTCCCATTAAACGTGGCCTACCCAATTCTTTGGATCCTCTTCTAAACTGCCTAGATGAGGTTAAAACCTGGATGTCTGCAAATTTTTTACATTTTAATAGTGACAAGACTGAGGTCATGCTTTTTAGTCCTAGTGTGTCCAGTGGGCCATGTTCTGCTGACCTTGGTCCACTAGCCCTTTTCTTGAAACCTGTAGCGACCAGTCTGGGAGTCCGGCTTGACAGTGATCTGCTTCTGGAAAAGCAAATCAGTGCCGTCACCAAAGCCAGTTTTTTTCAGTTAAGGAGGATTGCCAAGGTTAAGCGTCTGCTCTCAAGTCATGACTTTGAGACGGTGATTCACGCGTTTATTACATCACGTCTAGACTATTGCAACGCACTGTACCTTGGTCTTCCTCAGTCTCACCTGTCCCGTCTTCAAATGGTGCAAAATGCAGCAGCACGCCTATTGACGGGTTCGAGAAAGAGGGAGCACATCACCCCAATTTTAGCTTCGCTGCACTGGCTGCCTGTGGTTTATAGGGTCCAGTACAAGGTTCTTTTATTGGCTTTTAGAGCTGTACACGGCCTTGCTCCGCAGTATCTGTGTGAGCTTTTAGTAACTTTCTCCCCGTCTCGGTCACTGAGGTCAGCTGACCAGTTTCTCCTGGAGGTGCCGAGAACAAAGAGAAAGCTCAGGGGTGATAGAGCTTTCTCAGTAGCAGCTCCAAGGTTGTGGAATGCACTCCCGATTCAGATTAGGATGGTTTCATCACTGTCGGGTTTTAAATCACTCTTAAAGACTCATCTGTTCTCAGTTGCTTTTAATTCAGTTTGAGAATGCATCTGTTTTTAGTAGCTTTTATGTCAGTTTGATATGTTTGTTTTATCATGATTTTACCTTGTGATGAATCTTTTTATCTTGTTTTTAGAATTTTTGAGGAAATTCTGTTCGTTTTGTCTTGTTAAGCACTTTGGTCAGCTTTTATGCTGTTATAAAGTGCTATATAAATAAAGTTGACTTGACTTGACTTGACTTGCTATATATTCACCAGCCAGCCACCAGTTCATCGCCAGATTATTGAACGCCCTGCTAGTAAAATCTCCAGCCTTTTACTCACCTTGTCTTCGAAGATCCCGAACCCTGCTCCGTCTCCCGACCTCGCCTCTTGGATTACCCTGTCTGCTCCGCCGCATCTCTGATCCTCTGGCTCCGATCCTGCTCCGTCCCCGACATTCGCCTTTTGGATTTCCCCATCGGACTATTCCCGCTTCAGACCTCCTGTATCCTGACCTAGCCTTTGCCTCTCCCCTTTTAATAAACATTCTTAAACTTGTCATTCTGTGTTGGGTGTTTTTACGGGTCCGCCAGTAGCTCGTGACAGTTTTATTTTGTTTTGATCTACGTGAAGCACTTTGTGATGCTATGTCTGTGATAAGTGCTACAGAAATAAAATTTACTTACTACTTACTATATCGGAAGTAATATCGACATCGCAATATTAATCACCGTTATCGGATATCGCAGGTTTTCCTAATATCGTGCAGCCCTAATAATAATAATAACAACAACAACAACAACAATAATAATAATTTAGTCATACAGCAAGCCAACAATCAGCTGTCAGGAATGTGTGAGATTATTCTCACTGGCTTGTCAGTAGTAGGTTAATGCATAAGAAGGGAGTGAAAATCGGATAAAGATCAGCTCAGCATTACCCAACAAAAGCTGTTTCATTAGGATGAATATTGGCAGCTGTTTAATGTTACAACGTAAATATTACATTTGGGTTTTGGGATTATTTCGACTGTACCTGACTATCTCTTCGCCGTGCTGAGTCACAGTGATGCGTCCAACAAATCTGGAAGACACCGGAGACATTTTACCACCAAGAACTGGAGCAACTTACGTAAACAGTGGTGATCGGTGAAGGCTTGAACATAATAACCTCATTAATAAGCCTTTCTTATAGCTAAACAAAATTTGCAGTTATGATGCCCTGAAGAAGGTCGCACGCGACCGAAACGCATCGGCTTATACTAAAATAAATAATTTTTCAGAGTGCCTCAGATCATGACTTCAATATATATATTAGAAATACTTTAGCTACTTAAAATAATCTGACTTTGTGCAGAACTTTAAATTAAACTGAGTGCAGTAAACTAAAAGACCTGTTCCGATTTTCTGCTTGGTTACAAATTTAAATATTTAATGTTAAATTCATTTACACAAGTACATAGGAGCTAATTAAAAAAATATTCAATCAGAATCATCAAAATGAAATGTTTTTAGGAGATTTAGGCTAATTAAGAGAGATTATTAGATGCTGTAGAAGTTAAACCAGAAAGGTGACAACAGATTTCTCAAGAGGAAAATTAGAGCAAAGTTTAAATTTAACAGACTGATTATTGATTGATGAAACAAGAATGCTGACTAAATCTGAGCTATTTTACTCGGTGGGAATATTATCGTTCATGTTTAGGTTTAGGACCAAGATTGCCTTTTCACGAATAACAGAATATAGACCTTGGAATCATTCATCAAAGCTTTTTACGTGTTATTTTTTTAAATACAGGTATTCAGATAAATGTGAACTATCTAAATACAGTAAAATGCTTTAAATGTGTAAACAGAGAACAGAAGGAAATGGATGTTTTATGGCGTCTCCAGCCAATTTCTTCAACTAGCAAGAAAAAGCCTAAATAAAGCCCATCTGACCGGGATGTACTGACTCGGACTTGGACACATACAGCTTACCTTGAAACCGTGAGGGCTGCAGCCTAGTTTTGAAAACAACTATTGTGAAAGTACAGCAAGAGACAGCAACCTTATGAGGGGTAGGGGAGAAAACTGCCACAGGCAGACTGCTTACTCGACCCTAAAGCTGCCAGCTAAGTGACAGGAGGACGAAGTGAGGCTGCTGCTGGTGTAATAAAACCACCTAGCTTCATCCATTTCATCCATATCTGGCAGGACACTTAAATCAGGCTTTTAATTTATTATTTTCTTCATTTTAAGTAAAACATGTTGACTGTATGTTTATTATAGCATTTGTTATTTTGGGTCTAATACATGCAACAATTATACAATGAAAAAATTAAATTGAACAAACATCTAAAGTGTAAGAATCGATGGCGTGGATGTGGGACTGGGATTTTCATGCACATATTCTGAAGGCTTGGGTTAGATTACCTGTACAGGTCAGCTTCTGGCTGATGGCACTCTACTACAGCCTGTAGAGCCTCCAGTTGGGACACCGACTGACACACGGATGTCTCTGGTACAGAGAAATGCGTCTACAAGCAAAAACACAATTGCTACTTCAGAGTAGGACTCCTCTCAGCTAAGGAGTGATGTCATTTATAAATCCATGCTTAACAACTAAAACAAATGTTCTTTGCTGTATTTGTAAACAAGCTGTTTTGTTAACATGTGATCGCTCTGGTAAAGATCAAAGGTGGAAGAACGTCAGCATATGTTTACGTGAGAGAAGGTCAAACCATTAAATCAACATCTTACAGAAGTTTGAGAAAAGAAAACATTTCCATATCATTTCAGACCAAATCTGACTGACCGACAGTTCTTCTGCACTTTTTCACTCATTTCAAAAACAGCAGACCTTTAATTTGATCCTACTGGATTATACTGGCTCTACTTCATTTGGAACCGAACTGCAGGCAGTGCATGCCCACGTACAAACCGTGTACTTGTGAGGTTACTCTTCTACAAACAAACCTTAAGGTTGGTCTCGCCATCGAGGCTGGCTGTGGTGATGTGGCAAGTACCATCGACACGATCTGATGACAACAACGCCAGATCAGCTGGAAAGGTCTCATCTTTAGCTACACGAACAATGTCCCCCACCTGGAACAACACCCAAACATTATGAGGATTTTTCTTGGTGTCGGTCTTAAATAGGGTTGGGCATCGCGCAATGCGTGGAACCGGGGTCATCGGCTTGAACACTGCTGCTAACCATTTAAACATTCTCCCTCTCCTGATAACAACAATTGACTTTCTTTGACAGTGAATGTGCTACTACTAGTTTACCCGTTTAATTATAGATTCACTATGTCACGGCTGCCAGCCTGGAGAGTGAAGAGCAGGAGCCAGGATCGCCCAGCCCTGGTGATCAGACTGACACCGCCCCTCCTCCTCCTCTCTCCCAGGCTGCTGTGGAGCACAGCTGAGCTGAATGCTGCTGATTACCAACACCTGTATAAAAAGGCTGTGCCTTCAGCAGTCTGGGAGGCAGCAGTGCAGGGGTTCTGCTGTCCTCCAGGTCTCGGGTTGGTTCAACCCTTCTCGTTGTGATGGGTCTTTAAACTTTGGTAGTTTGAACTCTTATTGATGAGTTTTGGATGATCCAGTGTTTTCTTTTTGATGTTTGTGTTAAAGGTTAACTTTGTTTGTGGCAATTTTATTGACTTCAGTTTTAAACACCTTCGGTTCGGTAAAGCTTTTAATATAAGTTTTTACCAGGTGTTTTAGTCTAGATTGTTTTAGACTTATCAACTTTGTTGTGCTTCTAGAACACCTTCGTGCGGTTAAGCTTTTAACAAAGTTTTAACCAGGTGTTTTTATAGTTGATAATTTGTCGTTGTGATGTTAACCTTTTAGAGAGTTCTGTTTGCTCGTTTTTAGAACCTTTTTCAACAATAAAACCATTTTAATATCCACTGTCCAGTTCTTATGTTATCCCATCCTTCACATTTTACCAACACATGTCGGGGATGTAACATAAATGGGGGCTCGTCCGGGATTTTTTTTAAAACAACATCAGATTACTGGACAACCCGCTCAACCTGTTGAGCTACTGCTGACCCAGTCAGTGACTTGATGCAATTTGCTGGGTTCCTTATATAGGAAACTTTTTTCTGATTGGCTTAATGAACTGACCTGTATTGGAATATTTATTATGTGAAGTGCCTTGAGATGACTCTTGTTGTGATTTGACGCTTTATAAATAAACTTGAATTGAACTGTTAGTTTTTCCCGGAATTGTTCAAAGTTTTTATTTCGATTCCTAGAATGCCGACCGGAAGAGGAATCCGCAGCCGAACTCCGAGAAAAATAAACGTGATCTGCGAATTGTGATCAACGCTTTTCAGAGCTGATCCCAGCAGCTGTATGTGTGCAGCACCGAGTCCCCCCTCCCCCCACCCAAATATAAACAACACAGAGAAAATCTGCCGAACATTTACTCCGTAATGTAAACTTTAACTCCTGCAGCGTAGAGGAAACTTGTTAAAACACGTCAACACGGTGGATTTACTGGAAGCTTTAAAGAACAAACTCTGGACGGTGTGAGGTGAGTTTGTCTCGCTGCAGAAATAAAAACACACACGGAGCGTCAGAAGGCTAAACAATAACCTGTAGAATAATTAAAGTCATCATACTAGAGCAGCTTCTGTGGTGGACCACACCAGCTTCTGCCACAATAAATAATTATAAATAACATATTTTATTTCCTTTCTGAACTATTTCTGTTGAGAGTTTTAATGTTTAAAATCTGTTAAATGTAGCTGCTGTCAGTAACAATCTAAGTTTCACTTTCTGTTCTGACTGAATGCTGCTGAAGCATGGAGGTATAGTTCTCAGTCATCCTGGACATGATCATCCTGAGAGTTTTAGCTGAAAACAGCTGGACGTTTCTGGATATGTTGGAGACATTTAGCCTCTCATCCCAGAGGCTTCTACCAGACGTTGGTTGTGGTCAGAAACAAACACACTGGTTGTGCTGCAAGTCTTTCTCTTTTTTTCTCCAAAACATGTTTTTGTCTAAATGAAGGCGATGTTGTTGTTCATAGAATTTAAATTCATGTTGAAGTTAAGATTATTTCATCAAGTAGGACCTGTGGTTAGCTGGCTCATGTAAAACATGTCATGTCTTCAAAGAATCGGAATCGGGAATCGATTGGAACCGGAATCGAAACAAGGAATAAAATCAGAATTAGAATAGGAATCGTTCAAAATCAAACAATGCCCAACCCTAGTCTTAAACGGCTGGAGTTGTAATGACTGCATGCTTTTTAGCTGTGACTGTTAGCTTTATTTTTTCCTCATAAACTGTCTTAGAATCCTGTTCTCAGATTGATGTACACCAATACATTTTGATATAGTGACAAAGGGTAACAACAGAACCTATACAAGACATAGGTAGGTTAACAACAAAAAAATCACATGGATTTATACAAATAAAGGATTTTAGTGGCATTAGGAAACAGGTCAAACTCACAATAGTTACAAATCCATAAGTAATTCAGAAATGCAGAGAAGTCCACGGTGTCTTCCTTTAATTAAACAAAAGCAGCTGTGAGCAGCGTTATCGTTGGAGACTCTGACTCCAATATTGTATCCTGCTCTGCTGTGTCTGTCCTGGCACAGCTCAAGCCTGGCAGCTGTGCGTGCGTGCGTGCGTGTGTGTGTGTGTGTGTGTGTGTCCATCCCTCAAAGACAGACAGAGAGAAAGCGATAGCTTCAGTCAGAGACTGCCAATCAGAGACTCCCCCTAATGGCGTGAATTTGAGACAGGCAATCAGTCAGCAGTGGGTGTGTTAGACCAGTTCAACCTGAAGCAGACCCCTTGGGAAGAGGGCTGGAAAAAATAAAATAAAATAAATAAATAAAACACCGCGGAGACTATGCAGATGTGAACACTACCTACCCAGTCTAGGCAGTGTGGAGCCGGTGCTAGTGTGGAAGCCCTTTTAGGCTCCCTATAAGTTATTAATGACAGAATAAAATAGATCTATAAGGTTTACATATATATCTGAAGGTCTGTAAATATAGCCGTCTCCTTTTTTCTCCTCCTACCTCTTTGTTTAATTTGATGCACGTTTTTTAAAAAGCACTCTACTAATGGGCATAAGTACTTTCTATAATATGCTAATTAAGAGAAACGTTATTTACCAGCCAGCCATGTTAGCATTAGAAAATGGCCTTTTCCATATCAACAGTCATAATAAACACAACTAAGAGTAAAATCTGACATTAATTTGCTTTAGCCATCTTACCCTGATATTTTTGGATCTCGTCTGAACCAGACATCCACTCCGAACCACAAAGACTGGAGCCCCATTCACCTCATTATCTGCCTTGTGTCTCAGCCAGTCCTCATATCCCTGGAAAGAAATCATAAGTTTGCAAAACACTGAAATTCATAGCAGGCTAATTTAATATTAACATATTCACCTAATGTAGAAAAGACTCATTTTGATCAAATCATGTCATTACCATGTGGGTTTTTGCAAACAAACATACAAACAGACTGAATGTCACATGTTTGAGCAAGTATTGAAATTATACTAATAAACTAGATTTTTTATTTCATGTAACAAAGAATTTTTGTTTACTTAGTTAGCCCAGGACAAATGAATGAATTAGGTTTTACAGGAAACCAACTGTAACGCCCGCAGCTTGGTTCCACATTTTCTACACAAGGAAGAGGAAGTTATTGTTTACGCACCTGTTTTATTGCAGTAACTGTGATCACAAAGAAGAGCGGGAGTCCACTGGTGACCGGGGAAGTTGGGGTGTCTATCATTAACTGGAACAAACACATGTACAGATGCTAGGTGTCAGCAAATTGGTGGAGCAATAACACGCACATTTGCATAGCTATACTTGTTGGGACCCATCATTGACTTCCATTCATTGTAGTGTCTGAAATATGCCTAACCCATACCCTAACCAATGATTGTCTATTCCTAACCTAAACCCCAACTAAAGTCAATTCACTCCATACTTCTAAAACCCTATATTAAGCTTTTTTTCCCCATTGTGAGGCCAGTCGAAAGTCCCCACGTTGCAGGTTAAACATGAAAAAATGCCCCCAAACAGTAGTACAAAGTCCGTCCCCCCCCCCCCCCCCCCCCCCCACACACACACACACACTCACTCACACACGCACCAGAGTAAGAGTGGGTGTAATCTGTAAAAGAGAACAGCAGTAACCTAGAAACACAACACAGAGAAGTGGCGGCTGATAAGGCAAACAGGAAACCTCTAGAACTTCCCTCAAATGTTAAATGTCAGATCAGAACTGGTGGTCACTAATGGTGCACGTTTGTGCATTTATCTCTTTGAGGACACTTTTACTACACGGATCTCAGAAAGTAAAGATGAGACAAAATAAGCCTCACACCCTTAGATTTATTCTTATACCAGTAACAAGATGCAGACACACACACACAACTAAAGTGCATTAAAAACCTAGGAAGTAGCATGCGTTTAATCTCAACATACACTAAATCAATGAAGAATACTTTGTTTACAAAAATAATTGAAAGATAACACGTTTCATGAATTTTAAGTGACAGACTGAAAATAAGGAGAGTGAAGGCAGCTGACTGGCAATATTTATATGACGAATGTGCTTTCTGTTCCACAGCCACCACCTTCTCCAGGTTATATTAGCTCCAAGATCCTTCTCCAGGTTATATTAGCTCTAAGATCCTTCTCTAGGTTATATTAGCTCTAAGATCCTTCTCTAGGTTATATTAGCTCTAAGATCCTTCTCCAGGTTATATTAGCTCTAAGATCCTTCTCCAGGTTATATTAGCTCTAAGATCCTTCTCCAGGTTATATTAGCTCTAAGATCCTTCTCCAGGTTATATTAGCTCTAAGATCCTTCTCTAGGTTATATCAGCTCTAAGATCCTTCTCCAGGTTATATTAGCTCTCAGATCCTTCTCTAGGTTATATCAGCTCTAAGATCCTTCTCCAGGTTATATCAGCTCTAAGATCCTTCTCCAGGTTATATTAGCTCTAAGATCCTTCTCTAGGTTATATTAGCTCTAAGATCCTTCTCTAGGTTATATCAGCTCTAAGATCCTTCTCTAGGTTATATTAGCTCTAAGATCCTTCTCTAGGTTATATTAGCTCTAAGATCCTTCTCCAGGTTATATCAGCTCTAAGATCCTTCTCTAGGTTATATTAGCTCTAAGATCCTTCTCCAGGTTATATCAGCTCTAAGATCCTTCTCTAGGTTATATTAGCTCTAAGATCCTTCTCTAGGTTATATTAGCTCTAAGATCCTTCTCCAGGTTATATTAGCTCTAAGATCCTTCTCCAGGTTATATCAGCTCTAAGATCCTTCTCTAGGTTATATTAGCTTTAAGATCCTTCTCTAGGTTATATTAGCTCTAAGATCCTTCTCCAGGTTATATTAGCTCTCAGATCCTTCTCTAGGTTATATTAGCTCTAAGATCCTTCTCTAGGTTATATTAGCTCTAAGATCCTTCTCTAGGTTATATCAGCTCTAAGATCCTTCTCCAGGTTATATCAGCTCTAAGATCCTTCTCCAGGTTATATCAGCTCTAAGATCCTTCTCCAGGTTATATTAGCTCTAAGATCCTTCTCTAGGTTATATTAGCTCTAAGATCCTTCTCTAGGTTATATCAGCTCTAAGATCCTTCTCCAGGTTATATCAGCTCTAAGATCCTTCTCCAGGTTATATTAGCTCTAAGATCCTTCTCCAGGTTATATTAGCTCTAAGATCCTTCTCTAGGTTATATTAGCTCTAAGATCCTTCTCTAGGTTATATTAGCTCTAAGATCCTTCTCCAGGTTATATTAGCTCTAAGATCCTTCTCTAGGTTATATTAGCTCTAAGATCCTTCTCTAGGTTATATTAGCTCTAAGATCCTTCTCCAGGTTATATTAGCTCTAAGATCCTTCTCTAGGTTATATTAGCTCTAAGATCCTTCTCTAGGTTATATTAGCTCTAAGATCCTTCTCCAGGTTATATTAGCTCTAAGATCCTTCTCCAGGTTATATTAGCTCTAAGATCCTTCTCTAGGTTATATTAGCTCTAAGATCCTTCTCTAGGTTATATTAGCTCTAAGATCCTTCTCTAGGTTATATTAGCTCTAAGATCCTTCTCCAGGTTATATTAGCTCTAAGATCCTTCTCTAGGTTATATTAGCTCTAAGATCCTTCTCTAGGTTATATTAGCTCTAAGATCCTTCTCTAGGTTATATTAGCTCTAAGATCCTTCTCTAGGTTATATTAGCTCTCAGATCCTTCTCTAGGTTATATCAGCTCTAAGATCCTTCTCTAGGTTATATTAGCTCTAAGATCCTTCTCTAGGTTATATTAGCTCTAAGATCCTTCTCCAGGTTATATTAGCTCTAAGATCCTTCTCCAGGTTATATTAGCTCTAAGATCCTTCTCTAGGTTATATTAGCTCTCAGATCCTTCTCTAGGTTATATTAGCTCTAAGATCCTTCTCTAGGTTATATTAGCTCTAAGATCCTTCTCCAGGTTATATCAGCTCTAAGATCCTTCTCTAGGTTATATTAGCTCTAAGATCCTTCTCTAGGTTATATTAGCTCTAAGATCCTTCTCTAGGTTATATTAGCTCTAAGATCCTTCTCCAGGTTATATCAGCTCTAAGATCCTTCTCTAGGTTATATTAGCTCTAAGATCCTTCTCTAGGTTATATTAGCTCTAAGATCCTTCTCCAGGTTATATCAGCTCTAAGATCCTTCTCTAGGTTATATTAGCTCTAAGATCCTTCTCCAGGTTATATCAGCTCTAAGATCCTTCTCCAGGTTATATTAGCTCTAAGATCCTTCTCTAGGTTATATTAGCTCTAAGATCCTTCTCCAGGTTATATTAGCTCTAAGATCCTTCTCTAGGTTATATTAGCTCTAAGATCCTTCTCCAGGTTATATTAGCTCTAAGATCCTTCTCTAGGTTATATTAGCTCGAAGATCCTTCTCCAGGTTATATTAGCTCTAAGATCCTTCTCCAGGTTATATTAGCTCTAAGATCCTTCTCTAGGTTATATCAGCTCTAAGATCCTTCTCCAGGTTATATTAGCTCTAAGATCCTTCTCTAGGTTATATCAGCTCTAAGATCCTTCTCTAGGTTATATTAGCTCTAAGATCCTTCTCCAGGTTATATCAGCTCTAAGATCCTTCTCTAGGTTATATTAGCTCTAAGATCCTTCTCTAGGTTATATTAGCTCTAAGATCCTTCTCTAGGTTATATTAGCTCTAAGATCCTTCTCCAGGTTATATTAGCTCGAAGATCCTTCTCTAGGTTATATTAGCTCGAAGATCCTTCTCCAGGTTATATTAGCTCTAAGATCCTTCTCTAGGTTATATTAGCTCTAAGATCCTTCTCCAGGTTATATTAGCTCTAAGATCCTTCTCTAGGTTATATTAGCTCTAAGATCCTTCTCTAGGTTATATTAGCTCTAAGATCCTTCTCCAGGTTATATTAGCTCTAAGATCCTTCTCTAGGTTATATTAGCTCTAAGATCCTTCTCCAGGTTATATTAGCTCTAAGATCCTTCTCTAGGTTATATTAGCTCTAAGATCCTTCTCCAGGTTATATTAGCTCTAAGATCCTTCTTTAGGTTATATTAGCTCTAAGATCCTTCTCTAGGTTATATTAGCTCTAAGATCCTTCTCTAGGTTATATTAGCTCTAAGATCCTTCTCCAGGTTATATTAGCTCTAAGATCCTTCTCTAGGTTATATTAGCTCTAAGATCCTTCTCCAGGTTATATTAGCTCTAAGATCCTTCTCCAGGTTACATTAGCTCTAAGATCCTTCTCCAGGTTATATCAGCTCTAAGATCCTTCTCTAGGTTATATTAGCTCTAAGATCCTTCTCTAGGTTATATTAGCTCTAAGATCCTTCTCTAGGTTATATTAGCTCTAAGATCCTTCTCCAGGTTATATTAGCTCGAAGATCCTTCTCTAGGTTATATTAGCTCGAAGATCCTTCTCTAGGTTATATTAGCTCTAAGATCCTTCTCTAGGTTATATTAGCTCTAAGATCCTTCTCTAGGTTATATTAGCTCTAAGATCCTTCTCCAGGTTATATTAGCTCTAAGATCCTTCTCTAGGTTATATTAGCTCTAAGATCCTTCTCTAGGTTATATTAGCTCTAAGATCCTTCTCTAGGTTATATCAGCTCTAAGATCCTTCTCTAGGTTATATTAGCTCTAAGATCCTTCTCCAGGTTATATCAGCTCTAAGATCCTTCTCTAGGTTATATTAGCTCTAAGATCCTTCTCTAGGTTATATTAGCTCTAAGATCCTTCTCTAGGTTATATTAGCTCTAAGATCCTTCTCTAGGTTATATTAGCTCTAAGATCCTTCTCCAGGTTATATTAGCTCGAAGATCCTTCTCTAGGTTATATTAGCTCGAAGATCCTTCTCTAGGTTATATTAGCTCTCAGATCCTTCTCTAGGTTATATTAGCTCTAAGATCCTTCTCTAGGTTATATTAGCTCTAAGATCCTTCTCCAGGTTATATTAGCTCGAAGATCCTTCTCTAGGTTATATTAGCTCGAAGATCCTTCTCTAGGTTATATTAGCTCTAAGATCCTTCTCCAGGTTATATTAGCTCTAAGATCCTTCTCCAGGTTATATTAGCTCTAAGATCCTTCTCCAGGTTATATTAGCTCTAAGATCCTTCTCTAGGTTATATTAGCTCTAAGATCCTTCTCCAGGTTATATTAGCTCTAAGATCCTTCTCTAGGTTATATTAGCTCTAAGATCCTTCTCCAGGTTATATTAGCTCTAAGATCCTT